TAAATGTTTATGAAAATTAATAAAATATAATTATAGAGAAAAAAAAAAACAAAAAAAAAAACTTGAGAAACTGGAGGGTGTTATGCTGAGTGAATGAAACAGTCTCATAAAGATAAATACTGCATAAGACCTTTATTGTAAAAACAGAAGGATAACTAGCAAAACATGTATAGCAATAAATATGAGTGGCTAAAATAATTTCTTTGTTAAAGCCACCAACTGGTGGTACTTCTATTACAGTAACACTAAATTTTTTTAAAAAAATAAAAAGCCCAATTAGACTTGAAATGTTAAAGCTTTACCAGATAATGTACTGCCTAAATATTTAAGTATGTGTTACCTGATCTGCAAACTGGGTCATGTAACGCTGTAGCCTCGCCTGGTTGTCAGTTTGTTCACACATCTGCACCAAGATATCGAAGTCACAGTACTTCTCTGCTAATGATGCAGTCCACTGGTACTGGCCCAGCGAAACTACAGGGATAAGAATAGATGCAGAAAAAAAACTGCTGGTAAAAACTTGGTGTATGTGTTAAAATACAAGTTGTAACTTTATTCATATTAGATATTAAAAATATAAGGAAACCTTGTCATTTACTGGTAGTTAAAATTCATAATCTACATAAACTCAATTAAGATGAAAATTCTGTTCCTTGCTTGCTTCATAGTTGTCTACCAAAACAATACTTCCTTCAAATACTAGCAAAACGAGCTACTTTGCCTAATCTTGGTCTTGACAATGCCTTGCTCCTTACTGAGCAGCCGTGTCTGTTCTCAATCTCTGATGACCCTAATCATGCTGTCCTTCACAGTCTAGGTAATTACATAAAATATAGTTTGTCTTTTGAGATACTCTTTGAGTACAGACTTCACATGCTAATTCACTGATTTTTAAAATAATTTTTCTGAGTGTTTCATGATAGTCTACCTAGGAAAATGTCGAATGGTTCATGGTCTTGAAGAAATGCTGAATAAATACAAAAAAATCTGTAATTATTTGCCTTAAACCGTAGGTGCCAGGTAAATGATACTACATTAAACATGCTGCATTAATGGTTAGATGTCATCATCCGTCTGCAAATTCAGACATCTCAGTCCTATGTAGCAGCAATTCTGACTGATGGCCCCATTTCTGTCAGAGTCAAATCAGGTTTTTCAAGGATTGAACTTTTGAAAGCAGATCAACAGACTTGTCTTCCAAGTGGACTTAAAGCTCAAACCTTCAATCCTTTGGCTAACAACAGACACATTACCCATTTGTATCACTCAGAGATTCCTCAAAGACATATCCATAAAACAGAACCGAGCTGCTGTCCTTTCTAAAATCCACACTGCCATTGAATTGGAACCGACCTATAGCTGACCTACCAGGAAGTTTAAGAGGCTGCAAGTCGCACAGGCGAGGGTCCATCTTTCTCCCAAAGAGCCACAGTTAAATTTGAATCACCAGAGACTCAGCACTACTTCGTATCAGAGCAGTTGTCTGGTCAATTTTAACTCACAACTAGGCCTCACTAACTATCATGCACTTACGAAGAGGTGATAAGAGATCTGTTCTCTTCTGTAGGTATTCCATCTCCAGGCTGTTGTATCTCTCTTGGTAATTAGACTTGTCAACAGACTTAAGCTGAGAAACATAACCATCCAAAAAGCAATCAATCAACGCCACCAGCTGCTCTGTCAGGATGTTTCGAAGGTTGCTGCCCACGTGAGGATAAACCAGCTTCAGGACAAGCCTGTACTGGTACACTATTGCTGTTCGAATACCAGTGGGACCACCAGTCGCTGTGAAATCACACAAAAGAATTCAGTTAATTCAGGTCCTATATGGGCTATAGACATGATGCTACTTCACCATGCCTTGAAAATAAATCAAGCAGATAATCAAATGGTATCTCTCTGTATCCAAGCCCACTCTTCTCTATAAAAATGTCCTCAGCAAAGCTAGGCAAACTTGATCCTTCCTCCTCTTAAATTCTACTTCCACTTTCTTATATTAAATCAAAGCAAAATGTAGCAACTATCTCCAGGGCTGGAACCTGGTGCTATGAGTAAGTATTTGTGCTGAAACCCACTAGCTAGGTGTGTAATAAGTTCAAGTCAAGCAAATTCTAGAGCTCTAGAGATGATTCCAAGGGAATAAAGTGTTTTTGACAAGGATTTATTTTTTAGAGATGGCACATGTTCTTTTTAATGGATCAATAGAAACACATTTGGGCCAAAAGTAGTTAAATCAAGATCTATGAACTCAGATTCTGTGATCTCACCTGTCCATGGGACATGTTCGGGTTCTTTTTCAAGGGGTTCCACTCTTTCATATAAGGAACTTTTATTCTGACGGTAATGACTTGCAGCCTGCAGCATATCCTGAAGGACAGAAAATGAAATATGCTTTCATATGATGAAAGTGGTGAAGTATGTTACTATGAAAAACACTCAGCCTAAGATTAGTTTTGGTTCTTCCTTTTAAAAATCTGTTTTACTCTATAATCCAAGTTGCATTTTTTAATATGAATACTAGTTTTCAAGGCTTGGTTGCTAACTGGAAGGTTGTTCAAAGTCATGCAGCAACTCTGAGTCAAAATGAGCTCTAACTGACTCAATGGCACTTAGTAGCAACTTTACTGAGTTTATTCACCAAATCAATCATGTAAGCAAACTTTTAAATTAATGAAAAAATTAAAAGGAACAAATTAGAAAATTATATTAACATCAATACACTTAGAATGATAGGTTAATTTATTTAAATATTCCTGCCTGCAAATATGTTTATTTAACCACACCAAAACTCAGGGTTATCAAAACTTATTTATAGGAATAGAATTCAAAACATTTATTATGCATCTGGTGTGAAGGCACAATGTATATGGACTTTGTAGATAAACCAGTGTTTTTTTTTAAAAAAGAAGGAATTGCAAGAAATTAAAAAAAAAAAAATCTAAAAAACCCCAAAATCCATCATTGTTCTTAACTCTTTGCATTTTCAAACAATGTGGCAATAAATGTAAAATATGTATAAAAAAATGTTATGTGATTAATAAATGACTAGTATTTTCCTAACTTTGGGGAATTCATTAATGGCTTAAATTATGAAGGTTGTAGAATTATTAAGTATTCAGAATAGGAATATGGCCATCATGTTCTTTCTCTTCTAACCACACTCTAGGCTTTAGTAAGTGGAAACGATAACTGTATTTTTGTACCTTCAGGATGTTATTCACATTGATCACCACCTCAGCCCAATCAACAGAGTCCAATGATGCGTCCTTCAAGACTTGTTCCTCATGCTCCAGTAAACATTCACAGATTGTGTCTACTTGAGATACCTGAAAAAGCATACAATCATCTACTTACAACAGAAGGTATAATGAGCTCATTATACGTGAATGCCTCTATAACTTTTTTTGAATTGTAAGTCTAAGTTTATAAACCATATTGGGAAAATTTTCCCTAATCAATCATTCATGCAAATTCTGTTTCACACCAATTACAATACACATGACTGATCATCATTCATTCCACAATGACTCTCCCTTTACTTATCCTAATAAATACTCAATGAATCTATCAATTCATTTTCTACTCCATACTCCTTCCTCTCCCTGGCAATCTTGTTAGACTGATTCTCTCTGGTGTAAACCTTTCTCTAGTTTTCATACAAGTGCTCTTAAACAGTATTTGTCCTTTTGTGACTACTTCACTCAGCATAATGTCCTCTAGTTTCATTCACGCTGTGCACAGTTTCACAAATTCTTCACTGTTTTCCAGTGTTACACAGTATTCCATACAATAGCTGCCCTATGTATTCATTCATTGCGTTGTTGACATCTCTCTGCTATAGTGAAGAATCTGCAATAAACAGTTCCTTAACAGGTAAATTCTGGGTTGTTATAAAAAAGATTTTTTTAATTTAATTATACAGTAACTGAAATATTTGATATTATAGTACTCTCTTTGGAAGCAGGAGTGGCATCCACTTCCTAAACAACATGTCTCTGGAAACTATGAATTTTGATAAATGAGATAGTTATAGAAAAGCTTCAGGCCTTTGGTTTATAGAGTAGCTAAGAGTCATGCACGACTTGAGAAAGCAATCAACAACAACAATAGTACTCTCAGTGCTATCTTAGAATTGTTACTAGGTTGTAAATTATTTTACTTTACAATATAAAACAAATAACGGACACAAACTAAAGAAATGGCTAATTTCTTTCTTTGAAGATATCCTTTCTTCAGCCACAAAATAAATGTTTGTATAGTATATGCAGTTATATAATAACTAACAAAATGTTTAAATTCTGTTCTTTTCTACTTTTCCACTAATTAATAAATGACACAAAACTATCCTTAAGTATTGAAACTGCTGTTTCCAGTTTCAGTCAACAGTTAAGCTTTTTCCTCTTTATTTATGTATTTATGAATTAGTTTGCACACTGAACACTTGCAGATAAAAGAAATAAATCATATCTGCTATCTGTGAGGACCTACAAACCAACTGAAGGAATAAGATACAGTTTCTTGCAAATAGAACAAATGTCTTGTGCATAATCTTCTGTGTGTGCTATGTAAATATTTATATATATATATGAACAAAATACATCATACTTAGAAAACATAACCCAAACTATATTACTCCCTTATAAAACTTTCCCATACATGTACATTTAATTTCTAAGACTAAATGTAAAAGTGCTTATATTGTTAAAACAGAAAAGAAAAATGTTTGCATTATATAAAAGGCAAAAAATGGAAAAGCCAATAGACCATCAAAACATTTACATAACACCTTTATCATATTTCTTAGTTGCTGTTACTGTTGTGTACCCTTCAATAAATTTTTAGAGGCAGTAAATTGCAAGAGAGGATAATGACCATCTTTCTCCCACAGAGAAACTGGTGGATATGAACCACAAGCCTTTGGGTTGGCAGTTTAACTCATTACTACTGAGTCATCAGAGGGCAGTTACACATTTAGTGGTTTCAAATATTACTATGCCAAAATGGTCTGTTTTGTATTAATAGTTAACTCAGCTTTACAGACATGGAGAAACAATGATGCAAAGGATGATTGCTAAACAAAAACTGCTTTTTCATGGGAGGAAGTCTGCGTCTGTAAAGATTTACTGCATGGAAACCCTATAGGGTCCCTATGAGTTGGATTCAATGATAATGGGTCTTTTTAGGAGGTACTAGCCTATGTGCCACAGGATGAAGATAGGGCAGTGTGTTGAGTACATACTCAAATATATTCACTATTAGTTTACTTTAATTAGTGATGCAACATAAAAAACATCCTCCCTATATGGGCCTATCAATCTTAGGTTGATTTAACTACGTTTTCTCTTAAAATGTACAACATCAAAAAATTTTTAAAAATGTACACTATCTCTAAGGAGGTTAGGTAGAAGGAAAAAATATTTATACCTATATATACACAGGGAGCACTGGTGGCTGAGTAGTAAGGAGTTGAGCTGCCAACTGAAAGGTGTGTAGTTTGAATCCACCACTTGTACATGGGAGAGAGATGAGCAATCAGCTATGGATCAGTTCTGGCTTGACAGTACACAGTAACAAAAACTACAATATATACACATAAATTCACAGATACACACACCAGCCATGTATGTACATATGTATCGCTCCCTCTTCCTTATTCTCCCTTTTGACAGTGGTCATTTCACATGGTAGGAGCTCTACACCTATATCCAAAAGAAATCCAACTGAAAAAAAGGTAGGAAGGAAACAGCCTTCTGTGGAATTCTTCCAAGTAATGTTTTTCATAAAGACAATAAAAGGAAACAAAAAGGACATTTTAATGTTAGATCATGAAATCTGAGGTGAATTATTTTTTCTTCTTTCATTCAGATTTCTTATAACAGTACTGAATCCTAGTATGATAGATTTTATACATCTGGCCAAAGACCTTCATAAACTACACAATTTAAAAAATGAAATGAAAGAAAAAACACAAAACCAAAACAAAGCTGCTTTTTCCTCACATTCACTGGTTGTGGGAGAGGAGAAAGGGAGAACAACAACACAAAACCCACTAACGTATAAAAACCCCTAACGTATAAAAACAAAGAATTTCTCCAAATTAAATCCATTTGTTGAATCAATATACAACCTACCATAATTTGATGTCATCTTTTAGGTTACAGGACATCAAATATTACAAGAAAACCTACTGGCATGGTTCTATTAGGTGCTAGAGTATATCTAACAGGTAATTACCAGAATAAATCTAGTGGATACTTATAGTCAACAGTAATACAAGAGTTGTGGCAAGCCAGGAGTCAGGAAGCCAAGAGGACAGATGCCTCGGCTTTTGCTCTTCTGGCAATGCCTCTGTTCAGAGTGGATTTTGAAAGATAAAAGCAAAAGAACCAGCAAACGTCAATCAAGATTATTTCTCACTCATTATACTATGTAAGCTCTAATTTATTCAAGAATAATACTTTATTCTGAGGTTAAGGAATCACATTAAAAATTCCAGGAAGAGGGGAGCTCTGGTGGCCTAGTAGCAAGAAACTGCACTGCAATCCCAGAGGCACGTGGTTCAAATCCACCAGATGCTCTGCTGGAGAAGGAGGGCAATCTAGATTCCTCCTGTACCAGTCAGATCTGATTTGATGGTACACGCACAAAAAATAATAATGTTTAAAAGCTTAAAAAAAATTCCAGCAAGATCTCTTCCTATAAGCATCCACAATTAGGCATGACTGGTAAATGACACTGCTCTACAATATTACACTAAGAACAAGAAGGAAAGATTTACCTTACCTCTCTAAAAAAGACATCTGCAGGAGTGAGGCTTGATGGAATCACACATTCTCTTTTGTTTAAAGCCATTAATACTGTTGTGTTGACCAGGTCAGGAAGCCTAGAGTGATAGTTCTTGAGAACAATAGCAGCAGACAACTTCTCTGCATGCTCACAAAGCAACAATCGAGTTGCCACAGACACTCCTTTTGCTGTGCAAGTCCTAAGCCGCCTAAACAAACCAACCTTGTAAAAAGAAAGATATTCTTAGGAAGCATGTACTGTGACACAAAGTCCTTCCTGTTCTGTTTCTACCAGTGGCAAAATGGGTATGGACACTCCTCCCCTGAACAGTGTTTCTACACCTCTGCTTTTGGCTGCAACACACACACACACACACACACACACACACACACAATGAGCTAGTATCTGCATGAACTCATACAAGTTCTTCCTGAGATGAAGGTCAAGTCAAAGTTCTGCCCACTACTGTTGTTTCTACCTATCATCATCACCTAGATTATAATTTATGCTTAATAAAATGATGGAATTTCTCTTTTCTATTTTTACAAATTGTTGTTAGCTGCCATCAAGTTGAGTATGACTCAGCAACCCATTAACAACAAATTTGAACTCTGTCCTATCCTGTGCCATCCTCACAATCTCGGACATACTTGAGCCCACTGCTGCAGTCACTGTGTCAATCCATCTATTGGGGGTCTTCTTCTCCTTCACTGACCCTCCACCTTTACAAGCATGATACTGTTTTCTGAGGAACAGTCCCCCTTAGCAACATGTACTAAGCATTTCTCCAAGATATATTTGTTCTTTTGGCAGTCCAAGTGATATTTCACTACTCTTCTCTTGGCAGTCCAAGGGATATTTCATTACTCTTCTCTAATACCACAACTCAAAGGCACCAATTCTTTTTCTGCTGTCCTCATTCAATGTCAAATTCTAAGACACACAGTAAATAACTGAAAATATATATTGCATTGGGCAAGTCCACTGTGAGGGATCTCTCCAAATTTCTGAGGAGCAAAGGTGCCAGTTTGAGGACTAAGGTGCACCTGATTCAGGCCATGGTCTTTATAATCACTTGTGTTGTTGTTATGTGCTGTTGAGTTGACTCACAGTGACCCTATGTACAACAGCTCTGAAGCCTGCCCTGTCTTTTGAGACAATCTCACTGACTCAGACAAACCTACCCCCACTGCTCTAATCACTGTATCAATCCATCTCATCCGGGGGTCTTCTTCTCCTGCTACTTACCCTATAATCCAGATTTCAAAGATCTCTCCAAAACCACTAACTTCAATGCCTCCAACTTAATCTGACTTCTAGCCAATGTAGATGTACATAGGACAGTCTTTATTACACTTAAAGTTTTGCATTTATTAATAGACACTTGAATAGCCACTATAACTATTATATAAAATAAAATTATAGATATATAATTTTATAATATAAAATTATATAATATAGAATGAAATTTTTCGAAGTTATCTGTTCAAATGCTCCATAACTACATGTGGTTACCACACTGGGGAAAACATATTTCCATTAACCATACAAAGTTTTACGGGACTATACTGACTGAGGAATGTCTATATGTGTTTCATTGACTATGCAAAGGCATTTGACTGTGTAGATCATAACAAACTATGGCTGACTCTGAGAAGAATGGGAATCTCAGAACACTTGATCGTTCTAATGCGAAACTTATACTTGGACCAGGAGGCAGTCATCAGAACAGAGCAAGGGAACACTGCATGGTTCAAAATTGGGAAGGGCGTACGCCAGGGATGCATCCTATCTCCATACCTTTTCAACCTATATGCAGAACAGATTATCCGGGAGGCTGGGCTCTATGAGGAGAAATGTGGGGTCAAGATTGGTGGACGATTTATCAACAATCTGCGTTATGCGGATGACACAACCCTGCTTGCTGAAACTGAGGAGGACCTGAAGCGCCTGCTGCAGAGTGTCAAGGACTGCAGCCTACAATGTGGATTGAGGCTCAATGTCAAGAAGACAAAGATTCTCACCACTGGACCAATCGGCAGCATCAGGATGGATGGTGAAGAGATTGAGATTGTACACAGCTTTAGTTTGCTTGGCTCCATTGTCAACAGTCTTGGCACCAGCAGCCAGGAAATTAAAAGGCGCATTGCCATGGGAAAGTCTGCTCTTAGGGACCTCTCCAAAGTGCTGAAGAGCAATGGTGTCTCTCTGGAGACTAAGGTGCGTCTGATACAGGCTATGGTCTTCGCAATCACTTGTTATGCATCAGAGAGTTGGACAATGACCAAGGAGGATAGAAGGAAAATTGATGCCTTTGAGCTGTGGTGCTGGAGAAGAGTATTGAGAATACCATGGACTGCTAGGAAAACAAATAGATTTGTCCTGGAAGTGGTTAAACTGGGTGGCTCCTTGGAGACAAGGATTCTGAGGCTCCGCCTAACATACTTTGGACATGTTGTGAGGAGAGACCGGTCCTTGGAGAGGGACATCATGCTTGGGAGGGTGGAGGGAACAGCGCAGGAGAGGAAGGCCCTCTATGAGGTGGATTGATTCAGTGACTGGGATAATTGGGATGGGAGTGTCAGAGACAGTGCGATTGGCACAGGACAGAGCGGAGTTTAGGGCTGTTGTACATAGGGTCGCTATGAGTCGCAAGTGACTCGATGGCACATAAGAACAACATACTGATTGAAGTGTGAATCTTACTGATTTTTTTTTTTAAAAGAGGGGAACCAAAAGCAGCATTAAATGAGTAAGAACTGCATGGTAAAGTGGACAGGATGGGGAGATTGTATAACAATGAAAGAAATTTTTTTTCTTCTCAAAAGAGAAAATCGGGCTGGGGGAAGGCGGGAGGAGTGAGCAGGAAGGAAAACTGTGCAACAGTGAATGAATGGAAATCCAAGTTCCCCATAATCTTTATTAAAATATCAATTTAAAAAATAGTATTAAATTCATTAATCTGATTATGTATCTAGAAAACACTACATGTTGGGAATATAAGAATGGGCAATATTTTGTTACTAATTTTGTCTAATTTAGATACAACATCGTTTTACAAATAAGAAACAGTATTTAAATGAAGACTTAAGAGTAACAGCACTTCAAAATGTAAAATCTCCCTTACCTATTCATCCCAGTTTTTTCTAATAATACAAAAATATGTATTTTTACAAAAAAGTGCTTAAGAAATATGAAGAATTATTTTGTTCAAAAGGTTTAGGCTCATGCTCTGTGCTTTTTAAAATTTCTTGCTGAAATTCAATACTTTTCTTACTTTAACTTATTTCCAAAGTTGCATTTCTGTGCCTCCCTACAGCCCTGGAATTATTTACTTTTAAATCAGAACAGAAATGGAAATAATTAGTGATACCTATCCAATCAGACATCTCAAATTACGAGAAGCTGATTCCTATTCAGCCAAGGACATGGTACAGCCAGAAGTCCTGGCCATCCCATGCTCTGTAATGGGGTCTTACCTGGTGAATAAAGTCCATAAGGAAAGAATGAGCTTTCATCTTGTCTTCTAGCTGGTGAAGGATAATCAGCGATGTGTTGCTGAAGCCAGGCACTTCTGTAAAAATACAGCCACACAACTTAAATATATTGTATACTGCTTTTATGATCTTTATTGCTAGAAAAAGTTAAGAAAACAAGAACCTTTCAATGCAATTATTTTTATCATTTTCTCAAGGTTTGATATAATTCCTTACTTGAACTCACACTGTATCTATTCAAAACACAACCTATCTCTTTCACAACCACTCGGTATAGAGTATTATTTGTCTTTTCCTCCTCTGAGGTTTACTGAGCTGTTACATTCCCACCGACGGTGTATGTGGCCTTGACACAGCTGTGGGAAATGAAAGGCTGCAAATTTCTGTTTTACAGGCACTGTATGAGATGATGCATCCTGTAGAGGCCAGTGTCCATCCTTGGGGAAATACATGTCCCATTAGGCAGACATTTCCTGGAAATGGATATGTATGTAAATGCCCCTTCTTGAGTACAGAGGAACACACTCAATGATTCATAATGTATTCCATGGAGGGGAAAAAAAATCAATAAAGAATTTAAAGGGGAAAAAATTAGATCATGAAAGCATTAATCTGAAGTCTGAGAACAAAAGAAAAGCAGTCTAAGAAAAAGGACAAGCAATGATATTCAGTCACAGATCTTTAATGTAGAGAGAAGGCTTGTCTGAGGCAAGTCACCAGTATGTGGGAACATGAAGCATCCCTGATGTTAGAGAAAGTGGGAGTGTAAAGGGGAGACTCATTGGAACAGGAGGCCATGACAGGCTCACCCGCACCTCGTGAGATAGCTCCCTGCTGCTCCTAGATGAACACCTAAGATGAACATCATAGATGAACATTTCTAATGGTCAGATCCAGTGGTTATACTAACATGACTGACTGGGAGTTAAACAAGGGCCCAGTGTGCACTATGCACTATCACTCTCCTTTTAGAAAGAAATGTCAAGAAAGCTAAGCAGGATATTATAGACTGAACTGTGTCCCCTAAACCGTATGTCATCATGGCTGGGTCATGATTCTCAGGGGCTTGGCAATTATGTAATGTGAACTGTGCACCAACAGAGAAAGAAAGCTTTTCTTTACAACCAGTTTGACTTCTATGTCAATAAAATTCTGGCCGCACGAACTGTGGGACATTAAATTTATGCATGTGACATTTTTGTTAGAGCAGATAAGACCACCAGGATTTGCTCCAATGTTTTCCTTAGTTTCTATTTTATTAATGAAATCTGTTCTGAGCTCTTTTAAAAAAGATATAGGCTACAATTGTCTAAAAAACAGCAAATTTAAACTATATTGTTTGAGAAACTAAAGATTTTGCTTTGATAAGATACTTTTAACAAGAAGTAAGACTATGCTTCTCAAAACAGAGAACTCCTATAAAACAAAAGAAGACAATTACAAAAAACAGAGGACCCCAGCAGATCAAACTTGGTATTTTCTTACCCTCAGGGACAGATTCAGCCCATCGTGGGTCAGAAGCTGGGTAGTCATCTATTAAGTCCACACTGATTTGGGTAACAGCTCTGTCTATCTCTGAATCAGAATCCAAATCCAACTGAGCGGAAAACAGGTCATCCACTATCATTTGAGCATCACTTAAATCTTTCCTGCAATAAAATTAGAATACATATATATTAAGTGAGGCAAAACATTTAAAAATTCACCTTGACAAACTGTGAATTAAAGTCACATTTAAAGTTCGTACAAGCTCTGGTGGCATAGTCTATAGGATGTTGAGTTGCTAATCAGAAGGCTTCACAACTCTGGAGGTTCAAATACACTAGCAGCACTGAAGGAGAAAGTTGGGTAGTATCCTCTCATTAAGCCTTAAAACCTCAGATTAGAGGGTCACTTAGGAGTTGGAACCAACTTGACTGCAGTTAGTTTTTTAATACTTAAATTTTATCTCCAGTTAATTACGTTCAGTAAAATTTATCGAATAAAAGAAAACTATATTACAAACATATACAATATGCAAAGCCCTGGAGATTAAATGCTCCAGTAAACCAAAAACATGACATAGCCCGGGATTTCAGCAAGCCTACAATGTGCCAGGTGATAAGCAGCACCCTAAGGAAGAAACAGAATGCTATAGAGTGTACAGAAGGGAGACCACCAAACCTGTGGTGAGACAACTTTCTAGAGGAAGTGAGGATAAAGCTAATGTCTAAAAGGCCAGGAACAATAAGGTTTATGCAGAGGAGTTCTTATCTGATAGTTTTTTTCTTATCCCTGTGAATTTGGAAGTCAAATCATATGGGGAGAGAAAGACAAAGATGGAGACTGGATATGGATTGAAATAGTTTTTTGGTGGAACATGTGTCATGAACTGAATTTTGTCTCTCCAAAATATATATGCTTTCTTGGCAGAGTGATGATTCCCAGTGGTTTGGCAGTTATAGAATGATGTTCATCCTCCCATCATGTGATAAGCTTGTCAGTTTTAAGAGGGTTAGTTGTGGCTGTTATGTACTATTCAGTCAGACCACCTTTCAGCAGGTTTTTGGAGGCAGTAAATATAGGAGATGGCCCATCTTTCTCCTGAGAAGTTGATTGGAACCTCTTACCTTTGGGCGGGCTGTGCAACTCCTAACCACTAAGCCACTAAGGCTCCCTCTGGTGGCTTAATTAAGGGAATTAGAGAGGATTATAACATTTATACTCAGGCCTCAATGCAATGTTCCCTTACTCTGTACAGACAACAGCTTCTTGGTCTATGTATAGGTTTTTCAAGAGCACAACTAAGTGTTCTAGGATTCTTATTCCTCTCAATGTTAGCCAAAATCTGCTATGATTCACACAGTCAAATGCTTTTACATAGTCAATAAAATACAAGTAATTATCTTTCTGGTAAGACAAGAGTCTTACCAACAATCTGCATTATGCAGATGACACAAACCTTGCCTGCTAAAATCGAAGAGGACTTGATGGGCTTGCCGCTGAAGATCAAAAACTAAAGCCTTCAATATAGATTGCACCTCAACATCAAGACTACAATAATCCTCACTATGATAGATCCTCATTATGATAGATGAAGAAAAGACTGAAATTGTCAATGACTTCATCTTGCTTGGATTCACAATCAATACCCTTGGCATTAGCCACTAAGAAATCAAACGATGTACTATATTAAGAAGTCTGCTGTCAGGGACCTCTGCAAAACACTGAAAAGCAACGATGTCAGTTTTAAAACTAAGGTTAACCTGATTCAGGCCATGGTCTTTTCAATCACTTGCTAGACATCTGTGAGCTAAACAATGAATAAGGATGATAATAATGAATAAAAATTAAAATTCATATCTTTGAGATGTGGTTTCGAAGAGTACTAAATATCCTATGGACTGTCAAAGAACAAACAGGTATGTCTTGAAAAAAATGCAGCCAGAGTGCTCTTTGGAGACAAAGCTTTGTCTCACATACTTTAGGCATGTTGCTAAAAGGCGCTATTGCTTGAAAAGGAAGACGATCAGTGAAAGAAAGGAAGATTCCCAATGAGATGAACTGACATAGTAACTGCAACAAAGAGCTCAGGTTTGTCAGAGGTAATGAGGATGGAGCAGAATACGACAGGGTTTAGACTCTTTATTGAAAGGGTTGTTATGGATTATATTTGACGTGATGGCACATAACAACCAGAATAATTCCAACCAAGATCCATTTGTCACCAGCAGTGATATCCCTGGTGCCACGGCCTCTGCCGAATCAAGAGTGGATTTCTGGCAGTCATCTGTTGATGTATTGTGCCAGCTGTTTTCAAAATAATCTTTAGCAAGATTTTACTTGCATATGATTTTGTTTAATAATTTCCAAATTCTGTTGGATTAACTTTTTTTGGAATGGGAACAAATATGGATATCTTCAGTCAGTGAACCAGGTAGATGTCTTTCATATTTGTTGGCAGAGACTGGTGAACATGACCGGGATTGTATCTATTTCCTGAAACTCTTCAATTAATATTCCACCAGTTCCTGGGGCCTTAATTTTTGCAAATAACTTCAGTGCAATGTGGACTTCTTTCAATATTATTCATTCTTGATCTTATGCTTCTGCCTGAAATGGTTCAGTGTTGACCAATTCTTTCTGGTTGAGTAAGTCTGTATACTTCATCCACCTTCTCTAAAGGCTTCCTGCATCAGTCAAAATTTTTCCCATAGAACCCTTCAGTGTTGCAATTTGAGACTTGAATTCTTTCAGCTTTAGCAATGCTGAGTGTGTTCTTCCCTTTTCTCCATGTACCATGATGTTGCTTATCAGTCTTGATTTCTTGATGTTGAAAGGCAATCCACATTGAAGGTTGCAGTTTTTTATCTTCTGCAGCAAGCCCTTCAAGTCCTCCTCACTTGAAGCAAGCAAGGTTGTATTATCTGCATAATGCAGGTTGTTGATCAGTCTTCCTCCAATCCTGATGCCATATTCTTCTCAGAGTACAACTTTTCAAATTATTTGCTCAGCATAGAAAGAATAGGTAAGGAGAAAAGATACAAGCCTGACACACATCTTTCCTGATCTTAAACTATGCAGTGGTCCCTTGCTCTATTCATACAACAGCTTCTTGGTCTATATAAGGGTTTTATATGAGCATAATTAAGTGTTCTGGGATTCCTATTCTTCTCCAGGTTAGCCACTGTTTGTTATTTATAAGCCACACAGTGAAATAAATACCTTTTCTTTGTGGTATTCTCTGCTTTCAGCCAGGATCTTCATGTCAACTACATAAACCTGGTTGATGGTCTATTCCACAATCAGCACCTGGCCTGGTTTTGACTGCTAATACTGAGCTACGCTGATGTCTCTCTCTTTTTCCCCCCTTTCAGCCATTTACTTTTATTTACAGTTTGTGTTCAATGCAAATCAATTCCGTAACATGAGAAGTTACTATGAATCAAAGCACAAAAACACAAATATAATAATATACAATCCAAACAAGATGTACAGCATTCAAATATGAAGTAAAAGGGAGGGTTCATTCACATGCAAACAGTAGCTTTTGTTGGATCTCATAGTTTCCATAAGTAGGTTTCTAACCAAGGGAGAAAAATTACTATGGCTATCAAAAACTATTGTGCTCATATTAGATGTCTGGAACAGATAAGCATCAGTGAATGACCATGTGAAGAAAAGACTTCACAAAGTGTCTATTTTAAAAAACCTTCTGTGCATCAAGGCAGTTGTAAAAGATTTACTTCCCAGAATAGGGAGCTCTGGTAGCCTAGTGGCAAAAAGCTGCACTGCAATCCGAGAGGTACGAGGTTCAAATCCATCAGATGCTCTGCTGGAGTAGGAGGGGCAATCTCCTCCTTTACCAGTCAGATCTAATTTGACAGTACACATACAAAAAAATGAAATAAAAAAAAAAAAATTTACTTTCCAGAATCAAGCCCATCTTAAGATCACAATCTAAAAATACAGAAAGTGTTTCAAATGTGACTACCCTGATTCATAAAGTTTGGGGGGAAAAAAGTATTTACAAAAAGATAAAGTTTGTGAATTTAATGAAGATAAGCTTCCATTCAACACTTAGCAAATTCTTGATTTATATTATGTTTGGCTCCTTCACATTTGCCTTTTTCTTTGTAATTTTTTTTTTACCTTCAAACAGATGAATTTTTCAATTGTAAAAGTATCTAACATACACAGAAATGAAAAGCAGCACTTTTAAATTTGTTCAGGTCAATGCACTTTCTACTCTTTGGAATCTCACTAAATCTGGTGCTTTTACTGACTGGGCATAGGTGATGTGAAATGCCTACCATGACTTTATAAATGTATAAGCAAAATTTAGTCATTATGCTTTGATTTAGGGTACACTCCAATTCATCGTTATCTGATACATGTCAACTACATTGAAAGTCAAATGCAGTGTCAAACCCAAAGCTTCAAAGAGAATTCAGTTCCCAAGAAAATAATGATAGCATTAACAATGGAAAACTTTCTCTAGAGCTTAACAGCATTAAATTAGTAATGTTTAAACAACACATGCAGGATTTACAGAAACATTTGAAGGTTCCTTCTAATATCCATATAATAGAACCACGGAAGTTTTATATATTAAGATTCTCACCACTGGACCAATTGGCAGCATCAGGATGGATGGTGAAGAGATTCAGAGTGTTCACAGCTTTACTCTGCTTGGCTCCACAGTAAACACCCTTGGCACCAGCAGTCAGGAAATTAAAAGATGTACTGCGATGGGAAAGTCTGCTGTTAGGGACCTCGCCAAAGTACCGAAGAGCAATGGTGTCTCTCTGGAGACTAAGGTATGTCTGATACAGGCCATGGTCTTTGCAATCACTTGTTATGCATCAGAGAGTGGATAATGACTAGGGAGGATAGAATGAGAATTGATGCCTTTGAGCTTTGGTGTTGGAGAAGAGTATTGAGAGTACCATGGACTGCTAAGAAAACAAACAGATTCATCCAAGAAAGGGTTAAACTGGGCTGCTCCTTGGAGGCAAGAATTCTGAGGCTTCGTCTGACATACTTTGGACATGTTGTAAGGAGGGACAGGTTGTTGGAGAGGGACGTCATGCCTGGCATGGTGGAGGGCACGTGCAGGAGGGGAAAGCCCTCTAGGACTGATTCAGTGACTGAGGTAATAAGGATGGGT